TCCCAGGGAGGGGAGGACCTGCTCAGGCTTCAGGGGCAAATCTCTCACCGGGAACTCTCTTCCAGGGCTGAGTCTGGGCCCCAGGACCCGCGTGCAGGCAGGTGAGTCTGTCCCCAGCTGTCCCAGGTCCCTCCTCCTCACTGGGGACAAGGGGCCTCCTCCGTGCAGCTGGGGATGGGGATTAGCAGATCTGGGCTGACTGATGGGGGCATCTGGAGGGTCCTGCAGCCAATAGCTGAGATCTGTTGGGTGGGAAATGACTTAGAATCCCATCTCTGATTTCCTTCCAGGGACGCTTCCCAAGCCCACACTCTGGGCTGAGCCAGACCGTGTGATCACCTGGGGGAGTCCCGTGACCCTCAGGTGTCAGGGAAACCTTGAAGCCCGGGAGTACCGTCTATATAGGGAGAGAAAACCAGCATCCTGGATTACATTGATACGACCAGAGCTTGTGAAGAAGGGCCAGTTCCCCATCCCATCCATCACCTGGGAACACGCAGGGCGGTATCGCTGTCAGTATTACAGCCACAGTTGGTGGTCAGAGCCCAGCGACCCCCTGGACCTGATGGTGACAGGTGAGAGGACACTCAGGGGTCCCAGCCCCAGGCTCGGTCCTCAGGAAGGGGGTCGGCTCTCAGGGGCGTCTCCCTCTCACAGCCCAGCCCTGGGGATGATGTGGGAGGTGGGAGACCCATTTGCACTGTGCCTCCTTCTCTCCCAGGAGCCTATAGCAAACCCACCCTCTCAGCCCTGCCCAGCCCTGTGGTGGCCTCAGGAGGAAACGTGTCCCTCCAGTGTGTCTCACAGGTGGCATTTGGTGGCTTCATTTTGTGTAAGGAAGGAGAAGATGAACACGCACGACGTCTCAACTGCCAGTCCCATGCCCGTGGCTGGTCCCGGGCCGTCTTCTCAGTGGGCCCCGTGAGCCCGAGTCGCAGGTGGTCGTATCGGTGCTATGGTTATGACTCACGCTCTCCCTATGTGTGGTCTTTACCCAGTGATCTCCTGGAGCTCCTGGTCCCAGGTGAGAAATTCACAGCATTGCCTGGAGTTCCCTGAGTCTCCGGGCAGGTGGGGAGGAGCCGCGTCTCAGGGCAGCGCCAGGTGGG